GGGGACAGAAAATAACAACGTAAATATTTTTAAAACATAATTTCAGATTGTGATGAAATTTGTTTGTTTTCTCTGATTGGGTTAAAAGAGAATGAAACAAACTATAGCCCCAAGATTTTTAAAAATTGTGGGCCCTTTTAAGTTAAATTACAACAGGCATCCCTTGCACGTATGTTTCTTCTTTTGTTAGTTTTATGTTTACGTTATTAGTATTAGCTTTTCCAGATGGCTTTCTTAATAGGGATATTTTAAAGCCACTTGCCCATTTCATGAAGTTTGGTTTAGTTAGCTATCTATTGTATAATCTTTATAATCCTGGTGGTAGTTTAGAATTAGCTGAAGCAGACTGCCCACATTAGTGGCAATCCATTATTGCGATGTTGAGAAATTGACTGCCTGAATGATAGCACACGTCAATCCCTCCCAGTTGTGGCATTCTCACTTTCCTGTAGGAAATCAGCATGTGACAGACCACCACCAGACAAATACATTGACTGAAGATGCCAGGATCAACTGCTGGGTTCAGATTTATAGTAAGTCTTCAGTTCATTTTTATTTGTTAAAATGTTATATGTTATGTATATACAGTTCAAATATATGTTGTTGTTTTCCTATCCTCACTTGAGGACATTTTTCTATTTTTGTTGTGGGAGGGAGAGAGAGGAAGAGAGAGAGAGACAGAGAGAAACATTGACATGATAGAGTCATATCAAGTGGCTGCCTCCCGCACGACCCCAACCAGGGCCGGGGACGATCGAAACTGAAGCACGTGCCCTTGACTGGAATCGAACCTGCAACTCATTGGTCCATGGGCCAGTGCTCTAACCGCTGAGCCAAACCGGCCAGGGCTTAAATATATGTTTTAATATATTAAATATGCTATAAATATTCTCATTTCATCTACCCCATAGGGTGTACACACCCACTTTGGAAAGCACTACACTAACGAGAGTCTGGGGAGAGGACTACCATTTCACTAGGGATGATAAAGAAGGAGATTGTGACATATAAGCTGAAATTCAAATGATGAGGTGGGAACAACCCTGCAAAGAAGAGTGTTTCAGGTACCGGTGTATCAGGTAGGGAAGCAGAGCCACTGTGAATATTATGGAAATAAAGGGTTGACTACAAGAATCAGATCTTACACAGATGAGGGAGGATCTCAAGAAGGGAAAGTCTGGGAGGATAGTCAAGAGGTTGGAGAAAGATTCACTGACAAAGCCAGCAGAAGCACTGGTACAGTTGGACAAGTAAGAGCTCATGAGAAAAATCCAAGAAGCCAAGCCTGTCCAGCTGCTAAATTGGGACTGCTAGGGGCCTGTGGGAAGCTGCTGCTCCTGTGTAACTATAGCCTCTGTGGGTACACTTCCAAGATCTGGTGGAGGGCCTGGGACCATTGTTGGTCACAAGGCCAACAGTCATGATGACAAGGTGAATGTGGAGGACAGCGAGGGTAAGCTGGGATCCATGGATACCAAGGTGTCTGTCATTCTGTCTAATCAAGAGTAATGGCTACTCCTTCATCTCTCTTTTTTACGTCTTCACTTCTCTTTTATAAATCTCTCTTTGGCTAACTCTAACCTAGAACCACACAGGGAAGGGGATTCTGGGACAATGAATTCTCAGCTTAACCAAGTTGATATAGCACAACCCAGCACAACAGGGAACAGCACAGGCAAAGGCCCTGAGAAGGAAATGAACTCAGTGTGCTTGAGAAACAGAAAGAAGGTGAGGCTGGGGGCTCAACAAAGGAGGGGGAGGAGAGAGGGAGCATGTCAGAGAAGCGGGCAGAGCTTAAGTCATATATGGCTTGGTAGCCCATGATATGGTTGACTTCATTCTAAATTACTGGATTTTAAGCAAGGTGGTGGTGTTCTGTGAGTTCTTCTTTGAGAGGATCATTCCGGCTGTCATGAAGGTACTGAAGGAAGATTAAATTTGAAGAAAAGGGCTGCAGGAAAATAGGAGGCTAGAGACAAAGATGGCTTGGACTTTGAGTATAAAAGTATAGATATGAAACTGGTCAGTCAGGTTTTTAATCTCATTTCTCCAACATACTTGTTCAGTCCTGGAAACACCCCTCTGTGTAGGAGATGTGGAACACCCTTCGTTGTGAGGAAGCAACCGTAGAGGAAAATAGTCCAAGAAGAGTGGAACTGACACTAAGTACTTTCACTACAGCAAGGTCTATGCGGGGCCTGTTCCTCACAACAGCCCTGAATGAGGAAACGGGTGCACAGGCAGGTTAAGTGATATACATGAAGCAAGGTCACATAGCTAATAAGTGGCGGGCTTTTGATCCTAACCCAGATATCTCAGAATCTAGAATCCTGCTGGCTTTCACATTAAGGCCCTTGTGGGTAGTCATGTCCATAATCAGCAGCTGCTACCTGCCCAAACGTGACACCTGTCTGGCCTCTCAAGTGTACCTCAAATGTACCAGGTTGTTATACTTTGTTCACTCTCAACCCTCTCTGAGAGTCCACACTGCAAAATATCTCCAGCCCAATTTTTCTAAACTCTTACCTTGTGCTTGATCTCCACCGTAACTACTAATGGCTTTATAATATTTAAACATATATACTTTCAGAATATAAAAAAGAAGACTTTTTTGTTTGTTTGTTTCCTGGGTATATATCTCATCGAGATAGGATTATCTTTTAGGATTAGGAAATAAATTTCATTCCACACACCTCTTATAAGTCAATGTTGTTATAAGGTAATTTTGTCACATTTTCCACAGTTTTTTTTTTTTCCTCCTGTCTCCTAAAAGCCCTTTCAAGGGTTTCCATGTCTTTATCTCAATTACATCTTAACCGAGATGAAAGCAAATGAACAAAGACATAAGAATTACTGTTAAGCATGCAATCATTGAAGTGTATGTAAAAAAATCAAGATTTGTTTTCTGATTAATGGTCCATTTATTGATACCACTGTCTTTTAACAAAGAAATTATTTCAGAGTACAAGGTATATATGCCAATACTGCTTTGAACTTAATTACTTGCTTAGAGAGTATACATGTCTATATAAATGATGAATGATTATTATGTACATATATGTCATAATATGTGGTTTCTGGTTATTAGTTATATACTGTCCACTTTACCTGTGAGATGCATGGTAACTGGGTCACAAGACTCTCAAATTAGAAACATTTAGATTTTTCAGGGAAGTTATATGGAAGGAACTAGAATTTCATGATCAGATAAGACACTGTTTGGGTGGGATCACCACCAGACAGCAGTGAAAATCATCTGTAGTGTAAGGAGTAACAAAACTTGGGAAAGTAGATATATACTTAAATTCTGGCCAAAGACATCCTGTCCTACAACAGTTCACCGAACCTTTCTTTAAGACAGTTTCTAAGCCCTGCAGAGGTTAAGTGAGCACCAACCATATCTCCACTAGTAGGATTTGCTGCTCCCTCTAGCTCTTGGTACCTTAATACACCCTTTCTTCATGAGACCTAGGGAGATAATCAGTAATCACAATACTTGACAAACTCTGAAAAAAGTTTAATGACATTTAATGACAATGACATTCATATTTACTTAAAATCAGTTTTCAAAAGGATATTGGTGGCTTTCTTGTCCTATTATAGAAATCTGATGCTTGTCTGAGATGATACTCAAGGAATTTTTGTATGGGGTGGGAAAAGGTTGGGCATTGGTTGATTCCTAAAGCTCCTTGCAAGATTCCTATTGTAAGATTCTGTGATTCTAGGCACCTTGTATATTTTATGAAAACAGTTCAGAATATCCACAAATGTTTACACGTTTCCTTCTTATCTGCTAAAGAAGCCAACTTAACATCCATAAGGCAAGGATGTTGCACCACCCTGGGTGCCTGCAGAGACCATGGCCTTAGGATAATGAGGTTACCAGGGGCTACTCAACATTGAGTAGCCAATAGGGTAGCCAGCTCCTGCTCTGAAGAGATGGCCTGGTAGCCCTCCTACCTGTAACAATTGCAATTAAGAAATTATTCAAAACCTAGTTCCACATTATATGAGGCACAGTGGCAGATTCAAGGAAATGAACTATGGCCCCTGCCTTTCAGGAGCTGGAGAGAGAGAATAAACAGAAAGAAATAATTAGAAAATAATTAAGTGTTCACCTGTGTGATGTGGAACACAAGTGAAATAAGAGTTTTAAGATAATCTGAGTGTCCAGAAGGTTTTATTTAACAGGCAGGATTGAACTGAATCTTGAAGCCTGGGTCAAGTGAAGATCAGTGGGGAGAAGAAGGCATTCCTGTGCGGTGTAGGGGAAATACTGAGAAAAGAGTAGACCAGGGCAGTGAGATCATGGCCGGTGTAGTAGAGCAGGCAGGCATAGAACTGTGATAGGACAATGAGGAACTGGCTTGACTGAGGCAAAGGGGAACAACAGAAATAAAGTGGTCAGCCTGGGCAGGCAAGATCAAGTCACAGGGCCTCAAACGTGAGATACAAGGTTCTGACAGCTAAGTGCTAGTGTTCTCCAGGGGTGGTCCCCAGAAACAACCAGCACTTACATCAGATACATTGCATGTGAGGCCTGAAGGTGGATTAAAATACAGATGCTGATGGCCATGGCAGTTTGGCGAGGTCCAGCTCAATTCAAGCTGCTTGGCTTATCAACAAGCTGACCAGCTGGGGCGTGCTGACTCTCTGAAAACTGCAGGCTGTGGTCTTGGAAGCCTAGGGCTGCTCTCCCAGGCAGCTGTTGTGTGTGAGATGTGGTTGTGTGGGCATTTGTCCACATGTGGGTGTTACTAAGATCCTGCTCTTGAGCATAATGAAAGTCAGCGGACTGTAGGCGGAAGAATCAAGACAAACTACAGCCTCTAACAATTCTTAACATTTGGATTTAAAAAGCCACTTTCTAGCTTTAATTACAGTTTCGTAATGATGCTTTATAATTTCTAGTCAGATCAACAAGCTTATAGATTAAGCTGTTGGAATTATTTCAGTATAATTATAAAGAACCTTTTTAACACAAAATACTTGTCGGTAAAGTGGTCGCCTATGTAGTCCTCTTTTGGTGATGACGTTGAGATCGTTTCACTTTTAGAATTTGCTTTTTTGATGTTTTTTTCCCTTTCTTTTGCTGTTTCTTTTGGATGACCTGCAAGGAGAGGGGGGAAATGTGAAATATAAAATAAAATGTTTCTTTATCTTACCATTTTTCCTTTCTTATATTATATTTGAACTCTCCAGACTGTGGTCCATCTTCATCCTCAGAACTGGTTTAAAGTTGTTTCACTCTCAAAAGTGAAATTTGATTCTTTCTACTTCACCCACTTTGAGGAAGAGGCAACAGCCTTCTAATTGGTGTTCTCTTGTCCATTCTCCTGGCTTATTACCACCTTCACTCCAACCTTGCTCACGAACAAACTGTGCCAAGTACAACCTTCTGAGGTTGGGAATATTATCATCTACTTCTTACCTATGGAGAGACTGAAGCCTGGAGAGGGTGACTTGCCCAAAGTTGTACAGCTAGTATGTGGTAGAACCACTAATCTCTCAGACTCCGGAAGCCACACTCCCGACTATATATTCTGTGGTCCTCTTCAAACATAACTCCTTAGCATGTCATACAGAATTCTTCCCACTTTGTCCTGGTCTACTTTTTTTTTTTTTTTACCTCAATCCCTTAATTCCCTCCAAGCATACTCCACACACATTGCTTGAGGATCTCTGAACACAGCAAACTCTCTCATGATTCTACTCTTTGTGTGTGTGTGTGTGTGTGATGTCATTGCCCTCCTGGTGAACTATTTATCCTTCAAGACCCAAATCAAATGTCACCTGATATAAAAGGTCTTACTTAATAGTTTCTCCCTGCCCCTGCCTCCAGCAAAATTAATTACTCTTTCTTCCATAATCTTCAAGATTCTCATACATATTTTTATTTTATATTTCACATTGTTCTTTAATTTATTATTAGAATATTTTCTACAGCAGGAACTTACTGCATCTTATTACCTTTCTATTCTCAGTGTCTATTATTCGACTCAATACATATTTATTGTGTTGAATAAGAAAGATAAAGTGCCCTGGCCGGTTTGGCTCAGCAGTTGGAGCATCGGCCTGCGGACCAGAGAGTCTGGGTTTGGTTCCCGCTAGGGGCACGTACCCACAAAAAAAAAAAGATAAAGTTCCTTAACCTCATAGAACCCACATTCTAGTGGTGTGACTGACAAGTGATACTCTATGCAGGAATATAATAATACCTCAAGTGATGGCATCATTCTAGGAACAAATTAGGAGCACAATAATATGAATTTTAAATATATACCTTTAGCCCTGGCCGGTGCTCAGTGGTTAGAGCATCAGCCCACGGACTGAAAGGTCGGGGGTTCAATTCCTGGTCCAGGGCATGTACCTGGGTTGCAGGTTCAATCCCCAGCCCTGGTCAGGGTCGTGTGAGAGGCAACCTATCAATGTGTCTCTCTCACATCTCTCTTTCTATATCTCTCCCTCTCTCCCACCCTCCCTTCCCTTCCTTCCCCTCTACCTAAAAAATCAATGGGAAAATATCCTCTGGTGAGGATTAACAACAACACAAAAGGAACTACATAGATTCTTTGTCTTCCAAAGTTAACTTCTAAGAGAAAGAAAATTTTGTTCCTTGTTTTCACCAACCTGTTTCTCCCATTCTTTAATCAATTTTTTCACTTTGGTTGAATCTGGGTTCAGACATATTTGATCCCCATTCTTCTTTGTAGCACTGCCAAGGAAATAGCAACAAGATTTCTTTAAATTTTAACAATTTAAATGCTTCGTCTTATCCTTAAACAATCCAACAGGTATATGTAACGGGAGAAACTTTTATCTAAAGATGATATTGGTTAGTTTGTTCTGGAAATAGCTATTTAAGCTTAACTGAAGCAGCAAAATAGAAAAGTTATCAGTATACCTACCTTTTTGCAGAAACAATGATTATCAGTATGAATTTTGCCGAATTTTCTAATAAAACTACTTAAAATATAATAAAATGTTATCTTAAAATAAGATTAACAAACTGAATTTTTAAATATTACCTACAGCAGACTCTCCAGGAATAATTCAAAGATTTTTTTCCTTAATTTATCAGGATAGTCTGAGAATAAGAGTAGCCATTCTACATATCATCCATGATTTGGGCATCAAAAGACAAAGTATGCATATACTTTAACCTAGCAATCCTAATCTCCAGAAAAGTATTATTAATAAGAAAGAATTTAAGACATGATATTGCCATAATAAGAGTTTGATATCAATAGCAAAAATTTGGAAATAACCTACATTTAGGTATTGGTCATACAGATTATGGTACATTCATATGATGGAATATAATTTGGCCATTAAAATGACATTATTAGACAAAGATGATACTATTACGGAAGATTTACTGACATGAAGAAATGTTTATGATATAGTGTTAATGACAAAGAAGATTACAAAACAGTATGTAGGGTATGATTTTATTTTTGTGCATGTGTATATATATGTATATACATATAGTGTTTATAAATATATGTATATATTTTTTGTGTCAATATATGTACACACAAAGCAAATGAGAGAGATCTGGAAAACTACATACAAAGGGCTTAACAGTTTTTGTCATTGAATGGTAGGATTATAAATAATATTTATTTTCTCCTTTTGTGTTATCTGCATTAAACCTATTCTACAACAAACATGTATTACTTTTGTAATATGTCACCCTTTGTTCTTAATCTTTACCAGAAATTACTTATTTTTTAAAGAAAGAAGTAGGCCAGATTTGCAGAGGAGCAACAATCTGAATTCGAAGTATCTGAGTGGGCAAGCACTCTGAGGGTAACAATCACACTACATTTAATGTTTCTGCCAATAGGACTCATGCGTGTTTGATGAGATTTTACTTACATGATTTCAGTTTTCTCACAAGAAGGGCTTGGGGAAAACTGTTTAAGGTCCTTTAAGGATTTTAAGTGGATTGTCCCTTCATTGGTGTTGATGCAAAAACAGCGTCCCTTCTGCATCATTGGGACTCCTAAGGGAAAGAGAATGGGTAGCACACATCAGTGTAAGGCAATGTCTCAATTTAGGTGATCCATCAAAATGATACATTTGATTTAATCATGGTTATTACTATCATTTACTAAGTGTCTAATAATCATTACCCCACACTTTTTTTTTTTTTATCCTCACCCAAGGACACTTTTCCATTTTTTTTGTTCAGGTAGAGTGGGAGGGAGAGAGAGAGAGGGAAACATTGACGTGAAAGGGACATGTGAAAGGGACATATCGAGAGGCTGCCACACGCACAACCCAACCAGGGCCGGGACAAAATGCAACCGAGTTACGTGCCCCTAGCGGGAACTGAACCCAGCTCTCTCTGGACCTCAGGCCGACACTCTAACCGCTGAGCAAAACCAGCCAGAGCCATTACCACACACTTTTGAAGTAGTTATTACCTTAATTTTATAGACAAAAAAGCTAAAGTTCAGAGAAGTTAAGTAAAAAACAAACTCATTCAGCTTTTAGGGGGCAGGTACAGAATTTGAGTCCAAAGGCATTCCTCTTAACTACCATATTCCACAACCTTAGGGGAAAAGATTTTTACAATATTTAATAAATGCCTATTGCATATCACCTAACTCACACACAGATACCTAATTCATGTGTGCTCTGTGGACCATAGTTTCCTAAGTAATTTCCAAAGCCATTTATTATGTAACCTTAGTAAAATGAAGCTGATGTTGGTTTGGACAGGAAACTCTACATATAATCACGATCACCATCCTCATCCTCCCTACGGACTTGCTTTTCTTTTTTTAATCCTCACCCAAGGATATTTTCTCATTGATTTTCAGATAGACTGAGAGGGAAGAATGGAGAGAGAGAGAGAGAGAGAGAGAGAGAGGTCGATGTGAGAGAGACATATCAATTGGTTGCCTTCCACACGACCCTGACCAGGGCCAGGGATGAAACTCCATCCGAGGTATGTGCCCTTGACTGGAATTGAACCCGCAACTCTTTGGTCTGAGGGCCAACACTCTAATTGCTGAGCCAAACCGGCCAGGGTCTGCTTTGCTTTTCAATAGTGCTTTAAACTCTTGGAAATACTTTAAAATACACTATCTTCATATCTTAATTCTTTCATTCATTCAACATATATTTACTCAGTGCTTATATGCCATATATCATGAGGTAGATTGAAAAAGCATAACTATAAAATCTCTATTTTACAGCTGAGGAAACTGAAGTCTAGAAAAGTTCACTAATTTGCTCAAGGTAACAAAGGTAGATAGTAAACAGGTTAAGAACTTTTTCTCTGATTATTGGATCTTTAATTGGTTAAGCACAGACATACTTATCAAGAAACAATATCAAGGTGACAAATATAACTTAAGAGACAGAGTCTTTCATCACATTATCACCTAGTTCAAGAAACATTTATTGAACACTTACAACATGCCAGGAATTCACACACCAAGATTGAGAAGACTTTTGTGATTTGACAAGTCTAAGATATGAACTTTGGATAACCAACCACATCACTGAGAAGCTTTTATGAGTGACTCATATCACTTTCTGATGGGTGCAAAGCAATCACCTGTACTGGGAAAATCAAGAGGCTTTTATAGAAATTTACATCTCCGACTTTACTAACCTAATGTCACTCAGAATCCCTTACCTTGAACTCCAATCAGAGTCAGGAAGATGATACCCAAAAGGAGAGGAACACCACTTTTCTTCATAGTAGTAGAATGGAATTCTACTCAGTCACTCTTCTATAGGATTTCAAGTCTGAGAAATTCTTTGGAGAACATGTTCTTGGGAATCATATTTATATAGAACAACTTTTTCCCTCCTGAACTCTGATTGGCTAGTATTCTTAGCTGATCTAGCTAAACTAATCACAAATATTTGCACTGGGGGAAACCCTACTCTCGGATCCTAGGGAATTTCTGCATGTTTTATTTCCATTTCACATAAATGGGTGGTTTATAGTAAGAGATGTGAAACCAGTGTCACTGGTAGCCTTTGGTAGACACACAGCTCCTCACCTGGGTGAAGACTAGATTGTATGATGACTATAATAATATCATAAAACAAGAACTGGGAAAGATTAAAGTCCCAATAAGGAATGCACTTTTCAAATTCCCTTACTATTTATATAATGCATGTCTAGATTTATCTTTTCTTAATCTATGATAAATTAAAAAGCATCTTAATTTTCTCCAGAACCAGATTATTTTCTACTGTGATAAGCTTTTTTTTTTTTAACCATTGCCGTTACAGTTTATTATTATTCTTAATGGTTAGTTAGAATAACAAATCAATTGAAAATAGACAAATGGGCCCTGGCCAGTCTGGCTCAGCGGTTAGAGCGTCAGCCCGGGGACCAATGGGTCGCAGGTTCGATTATGGTCAGGGGCACATGCCGAGGTTGCAGTTCATCCCTGGCCCTAGTTTGGGTTGTGTGGGAGGCAGCCACTCAATGTGTCCCTTTCAAATTGATGTTTCGCTCTCTCTCTTCCTCTCTCTCCCTCCTACTCTATCTGAACAAAAAATGGAAAAATGTCCTCGGGTGAGGATAAAAAAAAAGAAAATAGACAAATGGGACTACATTAAACTTAAAAACTTCTTTGCTTGCATCAAAGAAAACAAACAACAGAATGGAAAAACACCTATGGAATGGGAGAAAATAATTGCAAAAACACATATCTGATAAGGAGTTCAGAATATATAAGAAAATTCTATAACACAACAATAAAACAAACAATAATAATAATAAAAAAGATTAAAAAATGGGAAAAGGGCCTGGCTGGTGTAGCTTAGTGGATTGAGCATCATCCCAGGAACTCAGAGGTCCAGGTTTGATTCCTGATCAGGGCATGTGCCCAGGTTGTGGGCTCAATCCCCAGTAGGGGGGCATGCAGGAGGCCAATCTATGTTTCTCTCTCCCCCTTCCTTTCTCCCTTCCTCTCTTTCTAAAAAAATCAATGAAAACATATATTTTTTTAAATAGGAGATTTGACTTGACATTTCTCTAAAGAAGATATATACATGGTTAATAAGCACATAAAAAGATGCTCAACATCATAATTATAAAAGATAGGGAAATGCAAATCAAAACCACAATGATATATCATCTCATATTCATTAGGATGCACTATCAATAAATAGAAAATAACAATTGTTGGTGAGGATGTGCAAAAGTTGGAACACTTGTGCACTATTAGTAGCAATGTAAAATAATGCTACCATTATGGAAAAGAATATCAAGGCTCCTCAAAACATTAAAAATAGAATGACCATATAATCCAGCAATTTCACTTCTGGGAATAGTCCAAAAGAATTCAAAGATCTCAAAGAGATATTTGCACACCCATGGTCATGGTAACATTATTCACAACAGCCTTATTTGCAAAGATGAAGTGACCTAAATGTCTATTGACAGATGAATGAATGAAGAAAATGTGGTATATACATGCAATGAAATTATATGCAGCCTTTATTTTAAAAAGAAGGAAATCTTGGCCCTGGCTGGTTTGGCTCAGCGGTTAGAGCATCGGCCTGCGGTCCGGAGAGACCCGGGTTCAGTTCCCGCTAAGGGCATGTACTTCGGTTGCAGTTTGTCCCCGGCCCTGGTTGGTCGTGCGGTTGGTCGTGCGATGTGTCCCTTCACATCGATGTTTCTCTCTCTCTCTCTCTTCCTCTCTCTCCCTCCCACTCTATCTGTACAAAAAATGGAAAAATATCCTCGGGTGAGGATAAAAAAAAAAAAAAGAAGGAAATCTTGTCCCATGTTACATCATGGATGAACCTGGAGGAGATTATGCTAAATGAAATAAACCAGTCACAAAAGGACAAATATCCATCTGAAGTATTTCAAGTCAAATCTTAGAAAAAGAAAGTAGAAAGGTGGTTTCCAAGGGTTGGGGGAAAGGGTGAGGTGAAATTAGTCTTTAGTGGGCATAGAGTTTCGGTGCTGCAAAATGAAAAAGTTCTAAAGATCTGTTGTACAACAATGTGAATATACTTAAGAACTGTACACTTAGAAATGGTTAAGATGGTAAACTTCACATTATGCATTATATTTTACCACAATTAAAAAACAAAAAGTAACGCCCTGGCTAGTGTGACTCAGTTGAAGGGTTATCCTGTACACCAAAAGGCTGCGGGTTTGATTCCTGGTCAGGGCACACACCCAGGTTGCAGGTGTGTATGGGAGGTAATTGATTGATGTTTCTCTCTCACCTCAGTGATTCTCTCCCTCTCTTTTCTTCTCTCTCTTAAAAAAAAAAAAGAGTAAGGGAGACTCAAATTAATAGTGGCTAATTAAGATAAAAGTGTGTTTCTCCCTAACAGAGGCAGGTGGATTAGTGTGTGTATGACAGTTCTGCTCCATAAAGTCTTTCTTTCTTTCTTTCTCTTTCTTTCTCTTTCTTTCTCTCCCTCTCTCTCTCTTTCTCTCTCTCTCTCTCTCTCTTTCTTTTTTATCCTCACCCAAGGTCATTTTTGCATTTATCTTCAGATAGAGCAGGAGGGGGAGAGGGAGGAAGAGAAAGAGAAACATCAAGTGGTTGCCACCCACACGATCCCAACTGGGGCCAGGAACAAACCGGAACTGAGGTACACCCCCTTAGCAGAAACCAAACCCGGAACTCTCTGGTCCACAGGCCGACACTCTAACCAATGAGCCAAAACGGCCAGGGCTAGGCTTTTTCTATCTCTTTGTTTCACTGGCATCTCTAGGTTTGCTGCCCTCCTGCAGATGGCCCAAGGGGGCTTTGCCATCATGTCTGCTTTCCAAGTACAGAATGATGGGAAGGCAGAAAAGGGCTTGTCCCTCATTTTTAGACCCCCCTGGAAGTTGCACTCATCACTTTCCATCACCTCCCAGGAGCCAGAACTTATTCACATGGCCACACCTAGCTGCAGGGGAAGTTAAGAAATGTGACTTTTATTCTGGTTGATACACTAAAATTTGGAGGTTCCATTATGGTAGAACAATGTTTCTCAAACTTTTTTTTTTATTAGTGCCTCTCCTGAGATGAAATTTAAATTAACTTAAATTTAAATCAAATTATGCCCTGGTTGGGTGGCACAGTTGGTTACAGTGTCATCTCGTACGCCAGAAAGGTTGTGGGTTTAATTCCTGGTCAAGGCACATACCTAGGTTGCAGGTTCAATCCTAAGTTAGGGTGTGTACGAGAGGCAACTGATCAATGTTTCTCTTCTCTCTCTCTCTCTCTCTCTCTAAAATCAATAAACATATCCTCAGGTGAGGATAAAAAAATGTTTAGTTAAATTTCTTCCTAAAGAAAAAAATTAGTCATGCACTACATAATGATATTTTTGTCAACGATTAACCGCATATATGTAGTAGTACCATAAGATAATAATGGAGCCGAAAAATTCCCATCACCTAACGATGGGAAGCTGTTGTAACATCATGGTGTAAAGGTTGCAAAAATCAACAAGGCTGAGACTGATGGTAAACACATTAACCTGAGTGTGGATGAAAATGACATTGAGGAGCTCTTAGAAACTGTTCCCGAGGAACTGACGAAGGAGGAGTTGTTGGGACTGGAACAGGAACACATAGCTGAAGAAGAGGCAAGAGCAAAGGAAACTGCTGAAGATGAAAAATAAATCTCAAGAAAAGTCAGTGAAGGGGGTAGCAGAAGTTTTTGCAGACATTAGCAAGCTCTTAAAAAGTTTGAAAACATGGACCTCAATACCAAAAGGTTTTCATTAACAGGGAAAAAGAAAAGGGTGTCAAAGCGGCTGCTCCAACATGATCAGTAACCAAAGGAATACAGTAAATTCCTAACCAAGGCCATCCGAGGGACCAGCCACGTACACTTCCCAACAATTTCAATTAAAAAGATAAATGATTTTAGAAGGCAATGCCTGTTCTTTCTATAACCTGATAAAAATGTATAAATAATTGCTTCCAGACTTCTTCCCATGACTCCCAACTCCAGATGTTTGATGACCCTACCTTGTCTGTATATTCTCTTCACCTGATATAAAACTGTTAATTCTCGGATGTATGAAACCAAAACTGCTGATGTATATTTTTCTTTATCCTCCTGCCTATATAAATATCCTCTCACTTTCCTAAAGTTGCAACACTGTTTAAAAGCTTCTTGGGCACATCATCAAATGATCCCAAATAAAAAACTCTTTAAATCTACAAAGATTCGTCTTCTTTTTGTTGACAAGAGGAATGTTCATGGTGCAGTATTTGCTTACAAGCCAATCTGTGATGAAAGAAAGAAATGAACCAAGCAAACCACAGGGACTTGTTTCTGAAAAGAATGACACCTCTTCAGGAGCCTCAGGCCCTTCAGGAGGTACTCCAGAAAAGGCATTGTTATCACAGGAGAGGACAGCTCCACCCATTATTGCCCTTGAAGACCTTCCCTTCCAGTGGGACAATATGTGAAGGTGGAAGAACATGATATTCATAATCCTGACCCTGTGTAGGCCTAAACTAGTGGGTATGTTGTGATTTAGTTGTTGTTGTTGTTTTTTTTAAGTTTAAAAAAATTTAATAGAATAAAGCTTCTAAAATAGGGTTATAAAGAAAGAAAATATCTTTACAACCATACAGAGTATTTGTATTTTAATGTTATGAAAGAGTCAACAGTTTAAAAAAATTAAAAGGTTAAAAAAGTTAGAAAGTTATAATAAGTCAAGGTTCATTTTTTTAATTGAAAAAGTTTTAAAAATAATTTGAGTGTAGTCTAAGAGTACAGTGTTTATAAAGTCTCCAGTAGTGTCCCAGGCCTTTACATTCACTCACCACTCCCTCCCTCACCCCCTCCCCCCCCCCCGCCCAGAGAAACTTCCAGCCCTACAAGCTCCATACATAAGTGCCTTGTACAGATATACTATTTTTTCATCTTTTATATTGTATTTTACCGTACCCTTTCTATATTAGATACACAAATACTTACCATTGTGTTATAATTGCCTACAGTACTCAGTACAGTAACATGCTGTACAAGTTTGTAGCCTAGGAGCAATAGGTTACACGCTATACAGGCATACTTCATCTTATTATGCTTATTATACTTGCATTTTTTACAAACTGAAGGCCAGCTCCTCACTAGCAAAAAGATTACGACTCGCTTAATTGTGTTACTTGCTTTATTACTGCGATCTGTAACCGAACCTACGATATCTCCCAAGTACTCCTGTAGCCTAGGTGTATCTTAGGCTACATACACCATCTAGGTTTGTGTAAGTGCACTATGATGTTCGCACAATGATGAAATTGCCTAATAACACACTTCTCAGAACATATCCCAGTTGTTAAGCAACATATGACAGTATTAGGAAATAAGTAAGATTTTGTTGGGTAGGGTTGAACTTTGGTGTGCCCCTAATAATTGTTAATATCTAAGATTATTTTTAGTTCCCCTAAGAACCAATTTGTCCCCACGTTCCCAGTTGAGAATGCATGTTATAAAGTAAGGGGGGGACAAATACTAGCATTTTCTGTTACATGGTGCACATTTTTGAACTGGTTTCTATATGGATTATTAATGTTTAAATACAACATTACAGAAATCTTTAAAAATAAAACCAGTGGTGATCCAGCTTACTCATTCGGTTATGCTTAAGTCTGGTAATGACTGTGACTATGCATAAGGTGGAGGTGGGTTCAGGTCCAACTTTGCTAATTAATGACTGCAAAATATTTAACTTCTGTTAGTCTCTGTTCTCTCAGCTGGGAAAACTATTACTGACCTCACAGGTTGTTAAAATTATGGCAACAACGCATTATCAACTGCAAAGCATCATAGAGTTAGTAAGCATTCTTTTTAGCAAAAAAAAGAAAGACGAAAACTCCTTAGAATAAAGACTAAGGCCCAGCACAGTCTGCCCTTGCCCACTTTTCCAGCCTCTTCTTGCATAACTGTTCTGTCACCCTTTCTTTTCTGTTCCTTAAAGGGACAATGCTCCTTCCCACCACACTGTTTCTGCTCACGCTGTTTCCCTGCCTGAAATGCTGTGCCTGCTCTGCCTCCCTACCCTACTGTCTATCTTACCCACCTTAGACATCCAGGCTGGCATGTCCCCTGGGAGGACATGGTCAGGTCCTCCTCCATATGCTCTCATGGCCCGTTGCGCCTACCCTCTTTCAGCCTATTTGCAAGACAATGGTTAAGTGTATCTGGAAGCCGATGGTTAACATCTCTCTGCCACAACAAGGGAGGCGAGTGAGACTCTCCGCCTGAGCACGGAGCCTGGCACACAGTACGTGCTCAGTAGATACGAGCACAGGCGTGAGAGAAGGAGCCAACAAACAAAGGCTCCCAGCCTGGCTTCGCACTGCGCCTGCGAAGGGCGCCTGGCTCCCTGGGGGGCTGACGGGCGCACTGCGCATGCCCAGCCAGCCAGCTTCCAGAACCTTCAGTGGGGAAGCAACAGCCGCAGTTTGCGCACCTCGCTCCGCTCTGAGCTCGCTGCTGGGGTCGCTGCTGGGGTCCCTGCTGCCTGCGCTGATCCCGCCTGGAGGAGCCCACCGTGGGAAAGGTAGTGGTTGAACCCCCGGGGATCTCCCCTCCCGGTCTCCTGCTGGTCCTCCTGCTGCCTCCTGACTTGGGGAGGCCTCGCTTCCTTGGGGAATGCCGGGAGCGGGGCCCATTTTGCAGTTTCCACACGAGACTTGGGTTGAGGCCTAAGGCCACAATGGCTTTAGAAGGGCCTGGTCACTGGGGCGGAGGCCTCCAGGCAAGGCCTAGGAGAGTCCATCGACTATGGGCTGTGGCGAGTGGGACAGCGGCCTTTTGGACAAGAGAAAGGAGGTGTTGGGATCAGTTAGGCGTCACTCCAGGCCCGACCGTATCGTGCAGACAGGGCAGATTGTCTGGGTACCAGCAGAAAGGGAGGGCGCCTCTGGAGGCCCAGCTGAAGGTGGAGCGGTCCCCGTGAAGCACCTGGGGGGGGGGGGGGGCAGGGTTGGCCTGTGCAAATGAAGGCCGAGCCCGTCGCCCTCGTTTCCAGCCTGTTCAGTCTCTTGCTTCCCAGGCCTCTTTGTGGATGTTGTCTTGAAAGCAGTGGGAAAACTCCCATGGACGTGGCATTTATGGCTAGCTAGGGCTTTTAGGAGAAACAGAAACTTGCTGAGAAGATCTTAGCAGGCTTTTCTCACAGTCCTGGGCAAGGAGCCAAGCATGGCCAGTGCTGTTGAAATCAGATAATTACCAATTTCCTTTTGGAAGGAGTTTTAACCTTTTTGCCTGGAAAAAGTCCAGTTTCTACTCCAGAGGAACCAGTGCTGATGTAACCTCAAAAGACACGCAAAGCAAGATTATTTTTATTTTATGTTTTTCTTGATTTTTTAGAGAGAGGAAGGGGGAGAAAGATAGAGACATCAGTAGTGCCATAGGCTGCCTCCTGCACGCACCCTGCTAGGGATCCAGCCGGCAACCCTGCCTGGCATGGGTCCTGACCTGGACTCAAACCTGGACCTCTCAGTCCACGGGAAGATGCTCAATGCACTGAGCCACACCAGCCCGGCAGAGCAAGATTCTTGTTCTTCACGTGTGGTCCCCAGCCTCTGCCTTCCCTCTTTTTGGTTATGGAGCCAAGTGTGGTTTGTTCAGTTATGTACGCAGCGTGACTTACTGTCACAGTGAAAATAAGAGTCTTCCTTTTTACTTGTGAAAGGAGAAGTTTCTCACAGTGAAATCCCCCAGCCTGTTGGAGTTTCTTACAGTGTGGACTTCCCCTCCTCTCAGCAGCTAGTACTGAAGGATGCTGATTTGAAAAGGGTTTATTTCTTGAAAGTCTCAGAGGCCCCTACTTTCTTCCACTTTTCTCCCAGTTCAGGGAGTCATTTCTTTCTTCCAAAATACTATAGTATGACTACAAGCAAATCGTAGTTGTAGGGGTTTCATGTCCTGTGTGCATCTCAGGTAACAAAGAGAAAGGAACGCATTCTTCCTTTATTGATCTTAATATTTGGCTTGGCTGGTTTGTTTTTTTATGTAAAGCTTAAGGACTAGATTAAATCTGTAAATAAACTATCCTGAAAGGGAATGTCCAGACATCATTTAGAGGACAGCTGGGGTTAAATGCTAGCAGTGCCACAATGTTTTTGCTTTGTGACTTTTGGCAAGTTAGTTTATAGTCTAATGACATGTAACCATAGTTATGAAGAAGCTGCTGCCTAACTTGAAGAAAATTATTCTGAAAAGGGAGACAATACTTTTGTTTATAAAATATCATATACATTTAAAGCAATTTACATTAAAATCACTTATCTAAGTAACTTTATAAGAAAAAAAATCCACATTCTTGAAACGCTTTATTTACTGTTTATCATTCATTTATTTTATTCATTAAACTTTCATTATTATGATTCCAGACTCTGAGGACACAGATATGAACAATATTCTCTGCCCCTACAGTTTGGTGGGGGGTGGGGGGGTAGCTGCATGTAAATGAGCAATTATAGAAGAAATGGTATGATAAGGGATTGTACATAGTTACTGAAGGTGCATAGAAGGCCACAAAACTCTGGCTAATGGGCTTAAACACAGTTGTTTGAACTAGGTTTGGAAGGAAGAGTTGGCTGAAATTTGTTACTAGAAGAAGGTGGGGCAGGGGTGTCATTCTGATTTGGAGGCATGAGAAAGTTTGCCAAATTTTGGAAACTGCAGGATCTTTGGCAGAGGTAAAGGGTAGAGTGATAATGGGGCAGTGGCGAGAAGTGAGGCTAGAAATGGAGCAGGAACCAGGATGGTTGTAAATCTCTGTGTGATTAGGAGACATTGAAGGACTTGAATCAAAGAAATGATGTGAGGAGATTTACAAACACACACACATATATCTATATCTGACCCTTATTACTAAACGGTATCTTTTAATCATATTTTATATAAACACTTCTTTGTAGCTATGTAGCGCATATATTTTAAATATGGTTCTTTATATTTGTAGTTTGTTTATACTCTGAGTGCTAGGCATTGAATTGTTTTTATTATTTCAGTAGTACAGCAAATGCTCTTACTATTTTTTTCAAAGATTTTACTCTCTTCCTTTTCACCACATCCTCGCCAAGACTGTTGTTTGTTGATTTATTGATGATAGTCATTCTGACAGGTGTGAGATGATATCTCTTTGTGGTTTTAATTTGCATTTCTCTGATGATTAGTGACATTGAGCATCTTTTTATATGTCTTTTGTCCATCTCTATGTACTCTTTAGAGAAGTGTATGTTCAGGTCCTTTGCCCTTTTCTAAATTAGATATTTTTGGGTTTTTTGGTGTTGAATAGTATGAGTTCTTTATAAATTTTGAATATTAGATATACCGTTGGCAAATGTGTTCTCCCATTCAGTAGGTTGTCTTTCCATTTTGTTGATGGTTCCCTTTGCTGTGCAATAACTTTTTAGTTTGATGTAGTCCCATTTGTTGATATTTTCTTTTCTTTCCCTTGCCCAAGGAGATATATCAGAAAAAATACTATTACGAGAAATGTCTGAGTTTTACTGCTTATGTTTTCTTCTAGGATTTTTATGGTTTCGAGACTTACATTTAAGTTTTTAATCCATTTTGAGTTTATTCTTGTTTATGGTGTAAGGAGGTGGTCTAGTTTCATTATTTTGCATGTATCTGTCCCATTTTCCCAGCACCATTTTTTAAATATATAGTCTTTACCCCATTGTATGTTCTTTCCTTCTTTGTCAAATATTAATAGACCATAAAGGTGTGGGTTTATTTCTGGGCTCTCTATTCTGTTCCACTGATCTATATGCCATGCTGTTTTGATTACTATGGCCTTGTAGTATAGTTTAATATCAGGTAGCATGATACCTCCAACTTTGTTCTTCTTTCTTAAGATTGCTATGGCTGCCCTGGCTGGTTTGGCTCAGCGGTTAGAGCATTGGCCTGCAGACTAGAGAGGCCCAGGTTCAGTTCCCACTAAGGGCATGTACCTTGGTTGCAGTTTTTCCCTGACCCCAGCTGGGGTCGTGTGGGTGGCGACCACTCGATTTTATTTTTTTATTTTTTTTTTATCCTCACCCGAGGACATTTTTCCATTTTTTGTTCAGATAGAGTGGGAGGGAGAGAGAGGAACAGAGAGCGAGAGAGAAACATCGATGTGAAAGGAACACATCTAGTGGCTGCCACCCGCACAACCGACCAGGGCCGGGGACAAACCGCAACCGAGGTACGTGCCCTTAGCGGGAACTGAACCCGGGTCTCTCAGGACCGCAGGCCGACGCTCTAACCGCTGAGCCAAACCGGCCAGGGCTGACCACTTGATTTTAGAGACATCGATGTGTCTCTCTCACTTCGATGTTTCTCTCTCTCTTCCTCTCTCATTCCCACTCTATCTGATGATAAATGCAAAAAAAATAAAAAAAAGATTGCTATGGCTATTCAGGGTCTTTTGTGATTTCATTATCAATTTTTGGAATATTCTAGTTTTAAGAAGTATGCCATTGGTATTTTGATGGGAATTACATTGAATCTATAGAATGCCTTGGGTAGTTTGGACATTTTAATGATGTAATTCTTCCTGTCCATGAACATGGTATATGCTTTCACTTATTTGTATTTTCATCAATTTCTGTCTTCAGTATCTTGAAAATGTTCCTTGGTTAAATGTACTCCTAGGTACCTTATATTTTTTTGTTGCAGTTGTAAATAGGATTGTTTTCTTTAAAAAAATTTTTTTTTTCCTTTATTAATTTTTAGAGAGTGGAAGTGAGAAGGAGAGAGAGATAGAAACATTGATGAGAGAGAACATCGATTGGCTGCCTCCTGCATGCCCCCCACTGGGGATCAGGCCCACAACCTGGGCATGTATCCTGACCGGGAATCAAACCGGTGACCTCTTGGTGCATGGGTCGACACTCAACCAGTGAGCCACATCAGCCAAACAGGGATTATTTTCTTAGTTTCTTTTTCTGATAGTTCATTATTGGTATATAAAAATGCCACTAATTTCTGAATATTAATTTTATATCCTATTACTTTACTGAATTCATTGATTAGTGCTAGTAGTTTTTTAGAGGAACCTTTAGGGTTTTCTATATGCAGTATTATGTCATCTGAAAATAATAACAGTTTTACTTCTTCCTTTTCAGTTTGGATGCCTTTTATTTCTTCTTTTTGTCTGACTGTTGTGGATAGAACTTTCAGTACTATATTGAATAAGAATGGTGAAAGTAGACATTTCTGTCTTGTTCCTGATCTTAAGAGAAATGCTTTTATTTATTTATTATTTTTTTAATCCTCACCTGAGGACATTTTTCCATTTTTTGTTCAGATAGAGCAGGAGGGGGAGAGAGAGAGAGAGAGAGAGAGAGAGAGAGAAACATCGACACGAAAAGAACACATCGAGTGGCTGCCACCCGCACAACCCAACCAGGGCCAGGGACAAACTGCAACCAAGGTACGTGCCCATAGGGGGAACCGAACCCAGGTCTCTCTGGACTGTAGGCCAACGAAGAGAAATGCTTTTAGCCCAGCTGGTGTGACTTAGTGGTTGAGCATTGACCCATGCACCAAGAGATCACT